GGTTTCCCTTTCCGGGAAACTACATGGATGTTCGGGAAACTTCAGGTTTACAGAGGTTTCCGTGGTTCGGGATACCTTATGGAATCCGAGCGTAGGGGGTTTCCAAATCACGGAAACTTTGCGGAATAACCTAGCATCCGCTAAAAACAGCAGTTTACATGATGTAAACTTGAGGTTCCCATGACTAGTTTCCCTTAAGTTTACCATGATGGGAAACCACTTTTTTCAACCAGTGTATAAATATTACATTCATCTACGATACATCAACATAATCTATAAATATTACAATCATTTACGATACATCAACATAATCTATAAATATTACAATCATTTACGATACATCAGCATAATCTATAAATATTACAATCATTTACGATACATCAACATAATCTATAAATATTACAATCATTTACGATACAGCAACATAATCTATAAATATTACAATCATTTACGATACATCAACATAATCTATCAGTATTACAATCATTTACGATACATCAACATAATCTATCAATATAAAAGTCAATGTTGACAAAACGTTTACAGTTCAACAAATCTATAAATACCTAAATCAATGTTGACAATACAATTATTTTGTGTTTTTTTAATAACAATTAAAAATACATGTTGATGTCACTGAACGAATTACTCTTTACTGATCTTATTGTATTATTTGAGTTTGATTATTTTTATTGTGTCTATTTTGGTATATTTGATACAAACATTTTTATTTAAAAAAAAAGCATATTATGCTTGTTTTGGATTTGTGAGGTTTGAGTCAATCATATAATTAGAAATTTGGTAAAATATTTCTAAATTAATAAGTTGATCAGATAATTGTAAGTTTTTAGTAGTTTTGCAAAGTGAACTAATCACTAACGGTAAAATTTGGTATTGAACATTTTCGGAATATCGGACACCTGACAACTTACAGCGGACTGCGGAACTTTTCATTTTAGGGAGAATGTAAAAAAAAATAATTAGAATGTTAGGTATATATTTCATTGAACTCGGTAATAAAATTTTGTTTTCATTTGCATGAGTTATAAAAACAAATACATTGCATGGAATGTGTCGCCTCTTTCCTTGAAGACAAGTCTAGTAGTGTAAAATCATATAACGATAATGAATTATCTATACGATAAACAGGCTTTTAAAGTCATACGATTTCGAAAGTCGTCTATTGTTTGCAGTCCGCTGTCCGTAGTACGATGTCAGGTGTCTGAGATTCCGAAAATGTTCATTATACCTTCTCTTAGCCAAGGCTTGTCTTCATGTACTCCAGGTATTCAACTTCTCAGTTTGTAGGCAATATGTTGGGTCAGGAATGACCACTTCTGCTTCTATTGGGTAGACAGTGATTGACTTCCATTTTAACCAACAGTTTGATGTTTTCACTTTTTTGTAATTGCTAGAGCTCCTATTCAATTGCTAGATACTCTTTGACAATGATATATTTAGGTAATGAATGTTTCTTAACCTTTTTCAAAGAGACAAAAAATGTTTTTTGCACAAATTTTAAGCACTTTATAATATACTTTTAACCATTTCAGAGAAATGATTTTTGCCTAGGTGGTCCTTTCACATGATTTATATTGTGTTGTGAGGTGTGTATTGTTTCATTATGTATATAATTAGTAACATTAAGTTTCTTGAACATTCCAGAGTGGTCAATATGTTTAGTCATTTTTTCTAGAACATTCTTGAACTTTATTCATGTCCAGAACTTTCCAGGAATATCATGTACTTACAATTTCTAGAATATTCTAGATTAATAATACTGTATAAATACCCTGTCAATTCGATGCATAAAAAACATTGTAGTATAAGCATCATTGGGGTATTACTGGGACATTGTGTGCAGGAACGGACACTCTGATCGCAGCACTGTTAAGGCTTACTATGAGAAATCAACGGAAAATAAAAGTGCAAAAAACGGGAAATTTTTAAAATTGAATTTATTTTTATTCAGCAATTCTATTATCACAGAACTTGAATACTTATGGAAATAGCATGGTATAACATACTCTGTACTGTGTAGAGTTTGGTCCCATCGATGGACAGTCACGAGATAAACGCATAGCAGGTACACGGAATGTAGGTCAATAACAAATTTCAATATCGCAAGGGCATACCCTAATTGAAATAAAAAATTCAGGCTATGAATTGTTTCTGTATACTTTGTAGTGAAAGTGCTGCTGCTTTGAATAGAATACGCGTTTTAATACTTAAATATTTAGGTAAATAGGCCACTGGCGAAATATGTTAGAATTTTACCAAATATTTTGTGCACTTATAAAATCACGGCCTCGATTTAAAAAAAAAATTACATTTTTCAGCACTTTTCAAGTTAAGGAATATATCCTTTATCTATATTTAAAAAAAATGGTTCAGATCTATGCAGTGTATGCCCTTGCGAAAGTAAGATTTTATGAGGCATCTCGATGTAAAATATGCGTAAGCTGCACATAAAACACGACATAATTAATAAAATACATTCTTGTTGTAGTTAATTAACAATCGCACAAATCAAAGGCTATACTTTGGTATTAATCGACTATTTAAAATCTGCTAATAATATTCCGTTTAATAATAAAATACATTTTTCGTTGATAAACAATTTCTCAATTTGCCTCTCACAGCACATGAAGTACGTCATTTTTACCAGTACTGACGTCATGTTTACAAGTTTATTGCAACGAGTGCTATGTCTACAACAAGCTACATGGGATTTAAAAACAACTTTTTTTGATGCATTGATAAGTTATAATGTTGTTTATTATGCTAATACTGTTCAGCGTAGCAATTTATTTCATTTACACGTAAAATGAGAACTACATAAATGTCATATTTTTGTCTGACGTCATAGTATACTTTCCCGTATAAATTAGGCCCCGCCCCCTTATTCAAGCCTTTACAATGCTGGATGTATGAGATTTTGCACTTAATGATTTGTATATTACTGTAAATAAATTATTGTTAAGTTTAAATTGTGTGATTGATCTTTGCTGGCATTTTTCAGGGTCATATTCTGACCCATTACAGAATTAAAAAACGCAATGTAAGTAAAAAATAATTGCACTTTTGCAGTTTATTGTCAGAATTTTGTTAAAAAACCGTTAAATTTCACTATAAGCCAGCAAAAATCAACATGGTATTTTCGGTCACAAACTTTCTTAGTTCGCCAAGTGTTCAGGTTTTTGATACGTTAAAAAAGGATGACTTGATCGCATTAGGTTTGCATTTTGGGTTAGAAGTTAAATCCTCACAGAGATAGCAAGACATTAGAATTATAGGTTGCAAACAAATTAGTAGAAGAAATATCTTTGAAAAATATGATCTTCCAGAATATACAGTTAAATCAAAGTTAGAATCTTATGAAATGTCAAAATATCAGTATAGTAGAGTTAGAGAAAATGCAATTTGAGCGAGAAAAAATAGAAAGAGAAGATCGAGTAAGAGAAAGAGAAGAGCGAGAAAGATACAAGAGAAGAACGAGAAAAAGAACGAAACATCAGAGAGCGTGAACGGAAATTTGAATTAGCTAAATTAGAAATTTGTGAGAAAATCACTCCAGATGTGTATGTGCGATGATAAAGATGATACATTTAAAAACTTGTGCTGTTACTAGAGCGATGGCCAGAAGACAAAAAATAATGCAGATATATTCAAGATTATATCAGACAACAAAAAACCTCTGTTGATATTGATATTGAATGACACTTTCAAAACACATATTCTTGATGTCACTTTAAATAACATGGAACCACAAATATCAAGAAGTCGGTGACGAAGGAACCTTTATCAAAATTAAGTGGTAATGGAATGAGTCAAATCTACCAGAAAACCAAGGCAAGGACATCCTCAGCCGAGAACGTTTACTCTCTGAACAACATAAAGACCCAGATATCATTCAACTTAGTAAGAGGGCACTTCCACCAGAAGAGGCTTCTAAAGTTGGAGAATGCTTCTATATGGAATATGGTATCCTTATGCGCAAAAATGGCGACCACCTGACGCTTCCCCAGATGAAGTGTGGCGTGTTGTTCACCAGATAGTGGTCCCCGCAGCTTATCGTCGAGATATCATTTATATTAGCTCACGATACACCTATGGCTGGTCATTTAGGTATCAATAAGACTTATAATAGGATTTTGAGTCATTTTTGTTGGCCTAAAAAATATATAGGAAGGATGTTTTAGTTTTGTAAGTCGTGTCATGTCTGTCAGATGGTAGGTAAACCGAATCAGAAGATACCATCCGCCCCTCTACAACAAAGTTCAAACTACATTTTGATAGAACCGTTTAGTCGAGTGTTGGTGAATAGCTGAAGACCTTTTCCTAGTTTTGACCAGATCTGGAAACCAGTATTTGCTTTTTGATGTGAATCCCTCGAATTCCTAGCCATACCTCTTAGGAATATAAAGGCAAAGAGTTTTCCTGTTTTGATAGCCTTAAGCCAAGTTTCCTGTTTTGATAGCTGAAGCCCGTTTCCAATTTTGTCGGCTGAAGCCTCAAATTTTATGTCGGGGTTGATAACAAGCCTCATGCATGAGTTTTGATAGCTGAAGATCCTGCTTATCATCCTGTTTTCCCAGGGAGCGCTAGAACGTTTTCATCTGTTAAAAACAAGCTGAAGCCTTGTTTCCTGTTTTGAAGACTGGGATGAAGGGGTTCATCTTGTTATTTGATAGCTGAAGGCAGTCCTGGTCTGATGGGTTTAGCCTCCTTTTGTTTTGATAGTTTGAAGCCTCGGTTAGGGGTCCTTTGATAGCTGAAGCCTCGTTTCCTGACTGATACCAATGATCTTAATCTTTTAGATTTTGATATTTCAAAGAAAAACTTTACAATGCTTGTTGATAGCTGAAGAAAATTTGAAGAGTTTTTGGCTGAAAATGAAAATCTGATACCAAAATAAATTATCATTTTCTTTAAGTAGTTGTTTGTGAAGATGAATCAAGTGATAAAATAATATCCAGTCTATTTTTTTGTTTATGAAGATGACTCAAGTGATAAAATAATCTACAGCGGTATTTATTTGTTTTCTTTTGAACTATAATAACACGGGTTTGTCACATTAACATGTTATAAGATATTTTGAAAGGTCTATAAATTCTGTATATTCTCAGTTGCCACTTTAGCCAATCTAATATGTTTAAATGTATATATCTGTCTCTATAAGTGTTCAGATCTAACTAGATGTTAATTTACACTGAATAACGAGAAATTTTCTACTGATTCAAACTTGGACATTTGAACATTCAACAAAAAGAACAAGTTAAAAACTTGGTGAACAGTTATTTAAAGGTTCCGGATTGAAAAAACTTAATGCAGCTTGTCATGATGTTATAGTTGGCGAAAAACTGCCTATCAATCACTAAACATCCGTACCGTCTCAATCCAATAAAACCATTTTACATGAATGGATACATTGTATTAATTGTGCAGAATGTCTCTCAATACTTAAGAAAGCACAATAACTCACGGTCTACGTTATATACAAAAAGAGGTCAAGCAATAGTGGCGACCCGCGTTGGTGCTTGTTATATCTGGGGAGGGTAAAACAGTAAATGCATGTTATAAGTACCAGGGACAAATTATTCTTAAGTTTTAAAAACATTGACATTGACTTTTGAAAGTCAAGTGGTGATGAGGCATCAAAGTCAAGTGGTCATGAGGCATTAACAGAAAGAGCAAAAGAAATATCTGCTTTTGCTACAACAGATGGACTTTACCAGTATAAAGTAATGCCTTTTGGCATGAAAAACGCACCGGCTGCATTCCAAAGGATGATTCACTCCCTTTTTCAAGACTTTGAGGGATGCGAGGCCTACATTGATGATGTCATCATATACAGCGACACATGGGACGAACATCTCCGAATCATGCGTGCTTTATTTGACATTTTAGCTAAAGCAAACTTTATTGTGAACCTTGAGAAGAGCGAATTTTGTAATGCCTATGTAGAATATTTAGGTCATAAAGTAGGTCAAGGTTATGTTACACCTATTATCGCTAAAGTGGAAGCTATCGCAAAGTTCCCGATTCCTACAAACAAGAAAGAGTTGATGAGGTTTTTGGGCATGGCTGGGTTTTACAGAAAATTTTGTCAAATTTTTTCCTCAGTTGTAAGACCACTTACGAATCTTTTACAAAAGAGGGTTAATTTTGAATGGATAAAGGACTGTGAAAAATCCTTTCATAAAATCAAATATGTCCTTATGAGCAACCCAGTTCTGTCAACTCCAGATTTTTCGAAGCAATTTAAGCTTACTGTTGATGCTAGTGATGTTGGAATCGGGGCAGCTTTGTTTCAAAAACATAGTGATAGTGTAAATAGAGTTGTTTCTTATTTTTCAAAGAAACTTACAAAATGTCAACAAAAGTATTCCACCATTGAAAAGGAATGCCTTGCTTTTTTGTTAGCCTTACAGCATTTTGATGTTTATCTGAATGTTACTTTGAATCCAATTCTTGTATAAACGGATCACAACCCCCTGACATTTTTACATAAATTGTCAAACAAGAATCAAAGACTGACTAGATGGAGTTTGTTGTTACAAGAATACAACATAATAATTAAGCATATCAAAGGCAAAGACAATGTTATTGCAGATGCCTTGTACAGAGTATCGTGAACATATATGATTTTGTATTAATGTACATATATTTCATTTTGACAATATAAGTTTTCATTGACATTCAAACTTTTTGAGAGGGGGGGGGTGTTGTGAGGTGTGTATTGTTTCATTATGTATATAATTAGTAACATTAAGTTTCTTGAACATTCCAGAGTGGTCAATATGTTTAGGAATTTTTCCTAGAACATTCTTGAACTTATTCATGTCCAGAACTTTCCATGAATATCATGTACTTACAATTTCTAGAATATTCTAGATTTATAATACTGTATAAATACCCTGTCAATTTGATGAAAAAAAAACATTGTCGTATAAGCATCATTGGGGTATTACTGGGATATAATTTCACTGGGACATTGTGTGCAGGAACGGACACTCTGATGTATGTATTTTTAGATTTTTGCTAAGTTTGTACTTAATGATTTGTATATTACTGTAAATAAATTATTGTTAAGTTTAAATTGTGTAATTGATCTTTGCTGGCATTTAGGGTTATTCTGACCCATAACAATTGTTCAATTGTTAGATTCTGTCTTTAACAAGTAATTGGACATGACTTACTGAGTCATTTAATTTAAGAAGTCTGCATTTTAATTTCTCCAACTCTATATGAAGGAACAAGACAATCAGTAAGGAACTTCCATACAAATTCTATCATCTGGTAAGTCACCTGGACTCAGAAAACCAGTAAATCATAGATAGATCAATCTTAAAAACCGGTAAATCACCTACAGTATAAACTTTGAGAACCGGCTGAGGAACAGAGCAAACACTGACCTCCAGAACTTCAGAAATTGGATCAGGTGCCATGGAGAAGTTAACGAGCCGACCGGTCACACCCGATGTATGCTTTTTGACATGATTTGAAAATATCGACCTTAGAACGTATGAAATTATACTTTAAACTAGAATGCTTATAATATATAAACAATTAAACTTGTGGGCGGAGTAAAGGTTTACTGTAACTAAATATGGATCTTTTAATACACCCAGGATCTACGAGTGGGTGGTGGATTCACAGGGGGCTCTAGCCCCTTTAGTGTATCTAGTATTTCTGGTGGCGGATCAACAGTTGTTAGTGGTGGGACTTCTACCATTGGCGGATCCAGTTTTATGGGTGGCGGTGGAAACAATAGTGGGATCCGCCCCTCTGTTGGTGTATCAACAGGAACTAACACTCAAACTACGTACGTCGTGGCGCCCACAAAAGAGTGCGGAACAGAACAGATTTGTCATGAAAGGTGCGGATCAAACTACCAGATCGGGGAAGCAGGAAAAGATGGTTGTGGGACTTGTATCTGTATAAAGCCCTCTGTAACATACGGTGAGTTGGATTGATAGATCGCTTTAATTATTGTTTTTTTTTTTTTAATAAATTCGCTCTAGAGACACGTTAAAATACTGAGTTTGACTTGGTATATTGGAATAATATTGAACCAAATGTTGGAACTTTAATAAACAATGTTGGACGAACATTGTGCCAACGTAATGATTGTATTTGAAACTGAGGTCCAATGTTGGCCAAGGTTTCAAAATATGTAGTTAGCATTGGTATGTTAAAATAACATATAAAAATTACGCCTAACATGTTTGTTAGTCGCACCAATGAAGAAAAGAACATTGGGCCAACACAAATAACCTACATTGGCCCAACATTACTATCATTGTTATGCCAACGTCATCATGTTATTTGGGATTTAAGATTTCATGTATCTGAATTTAATGTAATTTGAAACACTTCTGTTGTTATTTTTTTCCAAGCACTGCCATACTAATTCTAATAAACAAACATATGAATAATTACAACTATCATACACTAACTCAACATTAACTTCCTTCGGTATATGTGTTACCTTTTACGTTATCATATAACCTACCGTGTAATGATTAACATTGTGTTTCATTTTTATTTCAACAGGTCGTGACCTTGACCTGTCCTAGCCTGACCTGTAACTATGGCTGCAATGTGGGATATAAATGTGGAACAGACGGGTGTCCCACGTGTGACTGTGCTCTACCCTCAGATTAATATAGAATCAGAGATACATACAAAAAAGTATGATAAATCAAAGATAAATTATGCTGATTAGGACAAAGGTGTATGAAATTAGTTCTAACTTCTTTCTTTTCTACATAAGAAATATATACTGCAATAGCAATGGATTATTCTAAGTTCGTTATTGTAAGGTTCTGATAAGATAGGAAAAGGGACAATTTATTTCAATTTTTTAACAGAAAACTTACTTGAAAATATAAAACTTCATAGATTTATGTCTGTTTAATATACACAGAAATTCACTAGGGGTTTATAACAAGTTGTAAAATATATTTCTGAAACATATTGAACGCTCCATAGGAAATACATTTACGGTAAACATACATTCAAATACATTCGTGAAAAAAAACCAACCCAACACAGAGTGGATTGTACAACTTCCTTAAGATGTCCTGCGTCATGTGACGTTGGTTATAAGTGTGGATCGGACGGTTATCCTACCTGTGAATGTTTGGTGGGATATGTGCAAACACAAACAACCGGTAAGTCACCTACGTATAAACACAAACAACCGGTAGGTAATCTACAATACAAACTCAGGCAATAGGTAAGTCGGCTAGGTTACAAAATCAGGAAACCGGTAAGTTGTCTACGTATACACTTCAGTAACCGGTAAGTCGTCTATATTATAAACACAAACAACCGGTAAGTCGCCTATAGTACAATCACAGGCAACCGGTAAGTCTTGTACGAAGTCGGGCAATCGGTTAGTCGTCTATAGTATAAACTCAGACAACCGGTTAGTCGCCTACAAGTCTTATAAATGAAGGACCCCATTGGAAATAAGCTTTTTCAAAAAGGCTTTTATGGGTTATCTTTAGGTAGTATCTATCATACAATTTATTTAATTATAATAACATGTATATGTTTAATTAGAACTTCTTTATGAAGCATAGTGCTGAGATAATGTGTGTTTTTTTTCTAATAGTATGCTGTAATGTTTTAAATGTGAATCATGACATTCTGTGATATTTTTACCTGAATAAAATGAAATCTAATATATATATTTTTTTTAGCTTTTCAAATTTTCCAGACCATTAAGCTTTTTTTAAATCTTGTAATTTATTCTGGACCAATGTATTGATTGTGAACATATTGACCCCAACACATGAAACGGTCACCTATGTTCAAACTGTTCCGAAGCAAACACAACTGTTTACGTCACAGGAGTCAATGAATGCACTGATTGTGACGTCACACCGCAAATGGTGTCTTACGTTAAGCCTAGGCCTCAGACACAAACTGTTTACGTCAGTGGTAACAATGAGTGTCATGATTGTGACGTCACGCCTCAAATGGTATCCTACGTAAAACCAAGACCACAAAAACAAACTGTTTACGTCACAAGTACGAACGAATGTCATGACTGTGAGTTCATTAAGCCTCAGATGGTGTCTCACGTAAGACCACACCCACAGCAGCAGACTGTGTATGTTACAGGTATGTAAATTTTAAAATATAAAAATGCTGCTACATGTTTTATATTAATCTTACTATTCAATAATAAAAAGAAAAAAAATATGCTCTTAACTTTTTTTCCGCAAGGAACATTTTGAACGAGAATGTAACGGATTTTTGAAAAACTTCTTTGTTTCTAGTTAACCACTCCAGAAACCATGTATACCACAGGTAGTGTATATACAAAAATGACCCGGGGGAAAACGGAATACCCTTAAAGTTTTAGATAGGCCATATATAAAAAAACAAACTGTATATATACAAAAACCGGACAGGACGGAGAACGGGATTCCTATCTATGTAGACAGGCCACGCCCACAAAAACATACCATGGTTGTCACTCAAACACAGAAATGTCATAACAGTCACTCGTGTGGATCAGGTAAAGAAAAACACAAAAGTGTCAGGTCACGTGTCAGGTGAAGATATAGTGAAGGATTGTTTTGTCTTAAAATGGGCTCAATTTTCATAGGAAAATAAGAAAAATTTAAAAATCTTTTTCAAAACTTAAAACAAAACGAAAGAAATGCATGATTTTCATATATTTTTAAATCAAATATCAACTTGTGATGGGGATAAAATGGTGGACTTATATCATAGTAAGAAGTGTTTTGTTTTAAAGAAGACAAGCATAACCATTGGCTTTTTCTCAAAATGTTTTTTTTTTATATTTAATACCCCAACGACTATGATGCAATAACCAAAAATTATAAATTTTACGGTATGCATATATCTGGAGAAACTGATAATGATTTTGTTTTTTGTGTTTCTAGGCGGACTGTCTCAAATCTATTTACATAATTATATATTATTATTGATTTTTTAGGTTCTTCTAGCGGTAGCTCCGGTGGTGTTATAATGAATGTACTGACGGGTGGATCAGGTTATATCAGTGGCGGATCAGGGTTCAGTTCTGTTGGAGGTGGTGGATCCAAGGGAGGCCATGGTGGGACTCCTTACGGAATCAGTGGCGGATCCACTGTTTACAGAAACGGGCGCGTATATATGGAAAAAGCGGCAGCGGGAGCGGAATAAGATCAAATTTGACCGACCTAATTTTAAAAATATCATAAATACAGAAATTCATTTCAGTATATATGATAATTAAGGATTTTTTATTACACTGAATGCATATCTTTATTTCTTTTGCTTTTTTAACAGCAAGGAACTGTTCTCTTAACATATTTTTAGTTGTTTAACATTGTATTGCATTATCCTCTTTGTAATTAGTTTGTTTACATCGTATTGATCTTTTCAATTTGTCAAAACCATTTTTATTTTGTTTTACATTGTATCGTATTGTTCTTCTTTGTATCATATGTGCAACAGATTGATATATTTGTTTTACATTGTAGCAAATTGTCCATATGAATTTTTTTTTTGGTTTATTTTGTTTTACATTGTAATGTATTGTCCCCATTTGTTTTTTTCTATTGTTTTAATTGGTATTATTTTGCTGATAGACATGACTGATCATCCATCTTGTATCAAGTATGACGATCTTCATGTAGACGGTGTTTATGTTAAAGGAAATCAAGTGTGAAGAAGGTGTTTATGTTAAATGTAATCACGAGTATAGGCGGTTTTATGTTCAGTTAATCACGTGTGTAGACGGTGTTTATCCAAAGGTAATCACGTGTGTAGGTGGTGTTTATGAATCAGGTAATCACTGTAGGCGCGTGATTTACCAAGCGGTAATCACTGGTGTTTATGTTAAAAATCTAATCACGTTGTAATGGTGTTTATATATAAATAATCATTTCGTGTGTAAAGACGGTGTTTATGTTAAAGGTAATCACGTGTGTAGGTGGTGTTTATGTTAAAGGTAGTATTTTGAATCACGTGTGTAGGTGATGTTTATGTTAAAAAAAATCACGTGTGTAGACGGTGTTTATGTTAATGGTAATACGTGTGTAGGTGGTGTTACTGTTAAAGGTAATCACGTGTGTAGGTGGTTGTTTATGTTAATTTCATGTAATCACGTGTGTAGACGGTGTTTATGTTAAAGGTAATCATGTGTGTAGGTGGTGTTTATGTTAAAGGTAATCACGTGTGTAGGTGGTGTTTATGTTAAAGGTAATCACGTGTGTAGACGGTGTTTATGTTAAAGGTAATCAGGTGTGTAGGCGGTGTTTATGTTAAGGTAATCAGGTGTGTAGGCGGTGTTTATGTTAAAGGTAATCACGTGTGTAGACGGTGTTTATGTTAAAGGTAATCACGTGTGTAGGTGGTGTTTATGTTAAAGGAAATCACATGTGTAGACGGTGTTTATGTTAAAGGTAATCACGTGTGTAGACGGTGTTTATGTTAAAGGTAATCACGTGTGTAGGCGGTGTTTATATTAAGATTAATCACGTGTGTAGGTGATGTTTATGTTAAAGGTATTCACGTGTGTAGGCGGTGGTTATGTTAAAGGTAATCACGTATGTAGACGGTGTTTATGTTAAAGGTAATCACATGTAGGCGGTGTTTATGTTTAAGGATAAATACATGTGTAATCGGTAATTTGTTTGCTCTCTGATCCTGATGCAGGCGGTAATATTATTTATCAGTTATCAGGTGTGAAATCATGACTTACAGTAAAAAAATTAATTTGTATACGATGTCTATAAGTAGAAAATCAATAATCTCCTGGTTAATATATAATAATCTTAAGTCAATTTGTTTGATAAATTATTTATATTCAATATACACATTACGTTCTTAAATCTGTTAGATCAAAAAAACCATCAATTTGCAAAACTTAACAAGTTTTTATATATGTATTTTGGGAAATCTAAAATTCGTGTTATGTTAATTGATAAACATTGCAGTAGTGAAATATCGCCATTCTTTGAATATCGAAAAATATAACCAATGAAAAAATCAATCTGAATTAACAAATAAGCTCGACAAATTGAAGTATCGATGATTTCATGGATTATTTAATTACTTTACTTCCTGTCAAAAAATCAGAATGGCTTCAATGGTAATGGTATTTCATTACATTAAATTCATAATAAAGCTTATAGAATGAAATTTTGTATTCCTTTATTTGAAAGTTCAAATGAATTAAATTTAGAACTAATTATGAATGAGTCATAATAAGTTATATAATTTATGTAAGTATATAATATTATATACACAATCAGTCTATGTATTGTAATTGATTCTTTTACAAATTAATGAACAGTATAAATAATTGATATTTTTTGGAAAGAAGATGAACACCAATAAACAACAAACTTAGTGTTTCCTATAATTTAGCCCTGTTAATTTTCTTAAAAATTAACATCAATTTTTTGATCAATTATTTTTCTGTATCCATAATCCCTTATCAGTCAATTCTGAACAATGCTTCAAAATATGATTTTAGATAAACATTAATCAGATTAAACTCTGATGTCTCATTTACATTTGGTCAACGCAGTATTTGTTATAAGCTTATTCAAAAATGAGTAACAACACTTTTTTCCCTAATAAATCAATTAGCACAGTAACTTTAGCTGATTTATAAATTTCATTTCACATTTATAGTCCAAGCCATTTTATGATATATACCTTCTCTACATACAAGTGTAAATATTGTTTTATATCAAGAAAAATAAATCAAATCCTGTGTTGAGAGATATTTAGAATATTTATCTAATTTTCACTAAAAAAATACTTTTTATATAAAGAAAAAACTGAAAAAACAGTATCAACAATGAAAATCAAAATTACTTCAATAAAAATAATGAAATAACACGTTCAGTTAATTTTGTTTTAAAATGTGGAAAATATATATATATATATATATATATATATATATATATATATATATATATATAAAATATATATATATATATATATTGTATATATATATTCCAATAAAATCATCAAAAATATTCATTTGATGAACAACACACATTCCACTTTCAATAAAAAAAATTGAACACAGCTTCTTACACAGAGTTAATGTAAAATTGTTTAGCGGGAATAGATATTTGTTATCAATCAAAACTACATTGTGACTTAATATTAATCCATTTTAACGATATAATATATATATCACAATTTCCCCTGACACAAAAAATATTTAAAGGCATTCCAATACAAACTCATAAGCTCAAAAATCACTCCCTACAGAGCTGATAAATTTGGTCTCTTTGCATAAATTGGAAAATTTGACCAAATATTCACACAATTTCACCAGAAAGCACTGATGTAAATTGTTTCATTAATGTAATTTATGAAAAATTTCATTCTCCCAACTGCATCATGCAAAATTGTTCACTAGATTTGTCATATAAAGATGGGGATAATTGTATTAAACATCACAAACTTCAAACTTATTGAACAGGTTATATGAAAATTTCCTGCAACTGAAAATTTACCAAGATTCTGTATCGAAAACATGAGTCAATTATGCATCTAATAAAGCTTGTGATATTTACACACTCCATGTACTAGCATTGAATTGTGCTTTTGCAATTGCATTGAAGTTTTTCAATTCAACATCCTATTTGCAAAGTTAAAAATGTCTTTTATTTCCAATAAATCTGGAAAAAATTGACCAAATACTCACACATCTCCATTTTTTCTCTATAAATGCAGTGGTTCTTTGGAGAATCAACAGTTACATGTTGAACATTGCCTAAAAAAAATCATCATGCAACACTGTTCACTACATTTGATTCCTACTTGTAATTATTGATATTCTCAAAATAATCACAAATTCAAATTTTCCATTAACACAAAATCTATGGAGATAAACTTTTACCATTATCTGACAATCGTTACTGCTCATTCCTTGTAAAAATAAACCTTTATCACTTCCTCCCCAGCAAGCTGATTGAACACTGTTTCCTCTATTGTCTCTTATTTAATAAATCTAGGAAAATGATTGAAAATTCACACAGTTTATACCAAACAAGACAGCACAAATTGTTTCAAACTTTCTTGTGTTATATAAAATTTATTAATACATTAAAATACATATTTGAATAATTATTGCATGTAGTTGACTGTCTCATAGATTTTCCCTACTTGTAAAGATTTTCTTTTTAATGGTATTACAAACTTTTTTTAACTTCCCACTGAAACAATTATGCAGAATACTTTCAACACCATTTGACCAAAATTCAAGATTTCCAATCCTTTTCTATAAAAAAAATATTTTTTTTATAAAAATCCATAACAAGCTGAATGTAACACTGTCCATCCTCTATTGTCCCTTATGCAATAAATCTGGAAAATGGCGACCAAATATTCACATATCTCAATTTCACCAGAACGAAGCAATGATGTAAAATTGTTTCACCAATAAATATATTTATTGACGTCCAAATTAAAAATCAATCAATAGTTTGACTATTTGAACATTGCCTCCCCAAGCTGCATCATGCAACACTGTTACACTAGATTTGTCCCTAAACTTGTAATAGATGGGGAAAATTCAACTAAGTAATCACAAACTTCAAATTTTCCACTGACACAAGCTCTATGCAGAATACTTTTACCATCATCTGACAAGGTATTATTGCTACATTCCATTTTCTAGAAGAAAAAACCTAATTTCAACACTTCCTCCCCAGCAAGCTGAATGTAACACTGTTTTTCCTCTATTGTCCCTTATCTTCAGTAAATCTGGAAAATGATTGACCAAATACTCACATATCTCCATTTCACCAGAGCGACAGCACTGATGTAAAATTGTTTCACCACTTTCTTGTCGGGAATTGACGTCCATCTTTTTATCAATCAACAGTTGGACTACTTGAACATTGCCTCCCCAAGCTGCATCATGCAACACTGTTACACTAGATTTGTCCCTTACTTGTAATAGATGGGGATAATTCTTAATTAAGTAATCACAAACTTCAAATTTTCCATTGACACAAGCGCTATGCAGAATACTTTTACCATCATCTGACAAGGTATTATTGCTCATTCCTTTTTCTAGAAGAAAGGAAACAATTTCAACACTTCCTCCCCAGCAAGCTGAATGTAACACTGTTTTTCCTCTATTGTCTCTTATTTCCAATAAATCTGGAAAATGATTGACCAAATACTCACACATCTCCATTTTACCAGAACGACAGCACTGATGTAAAATTGTTTCACCACTTTCTTGTCGGGAATTGACGTCCATCTTTTTCTCAATTAATAATTCTACTATTTGAACATTGCCTCCCCAGGCTGCATCATGCAACACTGTCTCACTAGATTTGTCCCTGACTTGTAATAGATGGGGATTATTCTCAACTAAGTATTTACAAACTTCAAATTTTCCATTGACACAAGCTCTATGCAGAATACTTTTACCTTCATTTGACACGGCATTTAAGTCCAATCCATTTTCTATAAGAAAGGAAATAAATTCTACACTCCCTCCATAACAAGCTGAATGTAACACTGTCCATCCTCTATTGTCCCTTATCTTCAGTAAATCTGGAAAATGATTGACCAAAAACTCACACATCTCCATTTTACCAGAGCGACAGCACTGATGTAAAATTGTTGCACCACTTTGTAGTCGGGAATTGACGTCCATCTTTTTATCAATCAACAGTTGGACTACTTGAACATTGCCTCCCCAAGCTGCATCATGCAACACTGTTACACTAGATTTGTCCCTGACTTGTAATAGATGGGGATAATTCTCAACTAAGTAATCACAAACTTCAAATTTTCCATTGACACAAGCTCTATGCAGAATACTTTTACCATCATTTGACAAGGTATTAATGTCCATTCCTTTTTCTATAAGAAAGGATACAGTTTCTACACTTCCTTCCTTACAAGCAGAATGTAACGCTGTCCATCCGTTATTGTCCCTTATCTCCAATAAATCGGGATAATGATTGACCAAATATTCACACATCTCTATTTTACCAGAACGACAGCACTGATGTAAAACTGTTTCACCACCTCTTGTCGGGAATTCACGTCCATCTTTTTCTCAATTAATAATTCTACTATTTGAACATTGCCTCCCCAGGCTGCATCATGCAACACTGTCTCACTAGATTTGTCCCTGACATGTAATAGATGGGGATTATTCTCAACTAAGTATTTACAAACTTCAAACTTCCCACTGAAACAAGCTATATGCAGAATACTTTTACCATCATTTGACAAAGCGTTAATGTCTAATCCTTTATTTAATAGAAAATTAACAATTTCTTTACTTCCTCCAAAGCAAGCTGAGTGTAACGCTGTCCATCCGTCATTGTCCCTCATCTCCAATAAATTAGAGAAATGTTTGACCAAATACTCACACATTTCCATTTTGCCTGAGCGACAACATTGATGTAAAATTGTTTCACCACCTCCCTGTACAGGGTCCTGATGTCCATCTTTTTCTCAATCAATAACTGTATGAATTGAATATTGCCTCCCCATATTGCGTCATGCAAGACAAAGTTATTAGCTTTGTCCTTGACTTGTAATAAATCTGAATGATTCTGAACTAAGTATTCACAAACTTCAAACTTGCCATCGAGACAAGCTATATGCAGTATACTTTTACCATCATTTGACAAGGTATTTATGTCCATTCCTTTTTCTATAAGAAAAGACACAATTTCTACACTTCCTCCACTGCAAGCTGAATGTAACACTGTCCATCCATTATTGTCCCTTATCTCCAATAATCTAGGAAATATTTCAATAAGATATTTCACCATTTCAAGTCTTTCATTTTGACAAGCATACGTAAGAACGGTGTGGCCGTTGTTTTTATCTCTTTCATACGGATCAAAGCCAAAGTTGAGCAACAGATTAAATGCATGCTTATCTCCAAAACTTGCTGCTGACTGCAATGCATTTGAATATTTCGTTTGACTTAATTCTTCAAATGAGGAATATTGTTTTGATATTCTTTTTATAAATTGTGGTTTTTGCTTTAGAAAGATTTCCTGGATTAAGCTGTATCTGACACAACGTCCTACGGGATGCAAAGAGGACACAACTTGACGAAGGCCTACTGACTCACAAACTTGAAAAAGTAATTCTAAATTACCACTCTGTATTGAATATAAGCATGTTGTAATATCACATTTTACTCCAGAGTGTAAAATGAGATTGACAATTTCGGTGTGGTTCCTCGAACACGCAGCGTTAACAGATCGGTACCTTTGTCTTTTGTCGGAATTTGGTAAAAGATATTCCACCCATTTTTTATTTCCAACTCTAGAAAAATGAACCATAATTGAATCGTCATTAATGTCACGACATGTCTTCAATTTTGAAACACATTTTTTTCTGTGTAAAATATATTCATGAAAATTTGAATCAGTCCATAACTCCAACAAAGATATAGAAGCATAACCAGTTACAGACCTCTCTGCACTTATTTTTGCAATGCGAATGGCAACAGCATCAAATGAATTTTGTTCGATGAGAACATGTGTGTCGTTTGACTTTTTGCATGTTGTTAATGTCTGAAGTAAGGAAGGATGACAATGTTGTATCATTTTTTCAGGATCTATATAAAACATGACATTAAATAAAGATTCTTGCACTGAACTATGGGAAAACCTAATGCAATCTTTAATTTTGTCTCTTATTGTCAGAAATTGATCAAAGCAGTTGATGCTGTCCTGAAAATCATGAATACAAAATGTTTGGAGACCTACAAATTCCAATGAGGTACGTTTTAACTCCAAGTCCTTGTGAGCATTGTCAATCAATTCGAATTCCACTCTCCCACCACTTAGAAGAAGATAGGCGAGAACAGCTGATTTTGAAGTTTGGGTTTTTATAAGAATTTTGAAATATTCTCTCAAAAACATCTTAGGATCTAGTAAAAAGTCAGATATTTTTTGTTTTATAACAGCATTGCTTTTGGCTAATTTACAACATTGCGGAAATCCTATCCATATAGGCATTTCGTGAACCTTGCGGAGAAGATCCTGCTTTTCTATGGTATTTTTTAAATCATATTTATCAGCTAACTGGAGGATTTCTGCCTCTTGTAAAGCATATGTTTTATCTGAAATATCAACCATTGACGACACAAAAAAAGTATCATTGTGTACCATACCTACGTATTCATTGTATATATCATTTCTAATTGTAAATATCAAATTGTTTGATTTGCAATCTGTTACATTTTCAATTAAAATTGTTACCAATTCAGCTGTTGCTGACAAGTCTTTAATATCACCGCTGGAAAAAGAAAATTCTCCAAACACATTATCAATTAATACTACTGTACCATCACCTGGTGATACGCTTTCATACAGATCTGTGAATTTTTGAAGTTGAAGAGCTGATTTGCCTTCCTCCATCAATTCTTTCATTAACATCTTGGCTATTGTTGTTTTTCCAGTTCCAGGGTTTCCCTTGATAATGATGTACCTCTTAGCCTCTAAAAGTTCCTTTGCCTTGTTATACGCACGAGTTTTCACAAAAAATGGTGTCATATTTTCGTTATGTTCTGAAAAAAAAAATAGCAGATGTCTTCATATAATGAAAAAAAGAGAAGTTAATATGTTTTGATTTCAAAGTTTCTACTGGATACCAGCTTTATCATTGGTACCCAAATCAGTAGCTTAAAGACTGAAAAAAGTTATTTTTCTAATTCTTTCTCTTAACTTTCGTCAATTATTTTTTTATTCTTAACAAGGAGGAAATTTTCCTGGCAATTGCAATTTAAATAAAGAATCTGACTGTAAAATTAATTTCCTTTAAATTCAAAAGTGAATTTATAAATATAGACACATTAGAAGAAGGTATGCGCATGCTCGACATGTAGACGTAAGTTTTTATCGAGAGCAAAGTGTAGTCCAAAAACCTCGAATTTAATTAATTTCAGATCTTAAAAATGCATTGCTGATATTCAAAGATGTTTTAAAGTGTGTTGAAGTATGTTTTAACCAAAAAAATGCAATAGAAGAGAGGAACGAGAAGGTAAACAAAATTTGTAAACATATCTGTTTGTGAACACTAGTGAGCGATACTCATACGTTCCACTGTTACACTGTGAAATATGGCTAGTCAATTGACCCAGTCTAAAAAGAGAGCGCTCGATGATATGGACACTAACACATTTAACACCAGTACTAGTGATGAAGAAACTTCAAAAGAATGTGAAAATTTTCAGATGAGAGATGTCATGCACGGTATAACTAACATACAAAATACTCTTGCAAACCTTCTACAAGGGTTG